ATAATAAAAATATATAAAATAATAAAAATATATAAAATAATAAAAATTTATAAAATAATAAAAATATATAAAATAATAAAAAAATATAAAATTATAATATAAAAATAATAAAAGTATATAAAATAATAAAAATGTATAAAACAAATAAAATTCATAAAACTAAATTAAATGCAGAAAACTTTTAAAGAAACGGAAAAATTATAAAAAATAAGAAAATATAAGTATAATGTAAAAAATTAAAAAAGTAAAAATAAGAAGCCAAGATTAAGAATAACTACACACATTTTGAAAACATTTTCATCACAAAAAGTTCAGTAGCAGTCGATACTTGCGTGCGTATGTATGCACCTCTTTTCCCACTATGCAAAAACAAAAACAGCTAAAAAAAACTTCGTTGCCATTTCCAAACGGCCACAGATTTTTATTTAAATGTTTTCTTAGATTTTCGCAAAACCAACTAAAAAATTAGAAAATAATAACCGATAAATGCGAAAAAATTGCCTGCAATCGAAAATTTGCAAAGCACAAACAAAATTGTTAACTATAAATTGCACGCAACTGTTTATTGTGTTCACTAATAATTGCTAAAAAAAAGAAAAAAAATTAAAAATCAAAAATTAAAAAAATTGCAACGGTGCAAAGTAAAGTAGATAGGAGTTCCGCCACTACTTCAATGCTGTGCGTTCTAATAGTCAACTCTTCTGCTCTGCTAAAGGAAAAATTAAGAAAACAAATAGCTTTTAAAGAAAACAACACCAAAACAGATTTTAAAATTGAAGAAAGTAATATTTCATCGATATATACTTTTTTATTCTTTTCTTTCGTACGCTTCTATTCGTTCCTTGACTGACGACGTCTTCTGTTTCCCGCTCTTCTGCACTGCACTGACACTTCTGTGACCTACCGTTATGCTGATTGATTGCAAAAAAAATTTGAAATATTTTGCTCCAAAAATATATTTTGATTCCACTTTGGGGTGCCACATTTGTTCATGTGTTCGTGCGTACGTTTTCTTGCGTCATTGAAACACTACAGATTTGGATATCGGACAATACCATGGAACAAATGCCGGTAAGTCGAATATTACTGTTTATATCTATGAACTTAGTATTTATGTAGATTAATTTTAATTTATATATAAAACTCAAATACATTTTGAAAAATTTAGATAGATTATGTACATACAGTGGCGGAAAAGTATGTATATAGGGATGTGATATTTTTTATTTATTTTAATATAACACCCAATGTAAAGGAAAACAAATGTTTATTCCGAAATACATAACATAGTTGGGTTCGCCTTACATTTCCGCAGATTTCTAGCAACAGCGGTTCAGCGACTTTAAATGCATCTAAAAAGTTTAATTTTAGTGTTAAAATAGATCTAAAGTAGTGTTACTATATACTAGTTGCTTTTTTAGATCTTTCTTTAATACATTTTCTAAGTAAAGAAATACCACTTATCTGCCATTTTCTGCGGGCAATCTTTTCACACTACGTTTGCCAAATTTCTAAGCTTTCAATTGAACAAGGACTTATAACGCGATCTCGCCCGGGGATACAACAAATTCCTTAATATTCAACAACAATTAAAAAAAAAAATACTCGTGGAAAACCCGTATTTTCGTTACATTTAAATTGAACTTTTGCTTAATAAAATGGTTAAAAAAATTGAACACTTAAATGCACTATTACCTTCTGTATGCGGTTCTCCATCCCTACTTTTTAAGAATACAATGCAGAAATCAAAATATTAACTTGAAACCGTCACGATCTTTTTGGAGAGCGAAAATGTATTTATATGCAGCGTTAGAATATTCTGTTTCCGGTCAACGGTGAGCGTTCGCTGTCCAAGTTAGGAAAGTGAGGTGGACTGGGAAATGTTGTTTGGAATGTTCGCTATCGAATGTGACTAATTTTTTAAGTTTCCTTCAAAATTTTGTCAAATTGGTTTATGGCCGCCTAAATCGTTCTTACCACCCCTATGTGCGGCGTTCAATCTGCGCTCCTTTGACCAACCTCGCATAGCAGCTAAGGTGTTCTTTATTACTTCACTTAAAGGGTGAACATACCAAAACTGCGACACTTAAAAATTACTACTAGAAAGAAACTAGAAGGCTTTGAAATATTTTTTTTTTTTTAGTATAATACTTTGAAGTTTATATATGTATAATTAAAATGTTAAAATATTAGTTATTAAATTGCTCCATATGCAAGTGATCGTCGCACACGTGCCATCATCTTCTGCACGAGTGCATCATGGGCTTTACGCGACGCCTACAACCACTTGTTTTGAATTCTACGATATTTCTTACAGTTTCACCCGTCTTCTTCAATATCCCTTTCACGATTGACCAATATCACTCAATAGGACGTAGTTCTAGGCTATTGGCCACCCAATGCAGGCGCAAGGTACAAAATTGATGTTTGCATTATACCATTGCAATGTGTCCTTGGCATAGTGGCAGCTTGCCAGGTCCGGCCGGAACAGTGGTCTAGTACCATGTCTGTTGATAAGTGGCAAACGTCGCTTTTTGAGGCACTCATCCCGATAAACTTTAGCGTTCATTGTCCCGAATGTGAAATAAGGGCTGCTCTTACGGCCACAGGAACAAATAGCTTGCCAAACCATGTATGTTTTTTTTTGGAAATTTGGACTTCGTTTTCAGCTTACAGCTTTCAGGGGCATCTTGACGACTTGCAGCAGTATAAAAATCTTGACCAGCAATATATTTGAAATTTTGAAAGCAGTAGGTTTCGTCGTCCATAACAATGCATTTGTATATTGTAATTTGGGATTCATACATTTTCCGGCTGTGGAACTTCTTGAGCTTTAAAACTTCTCAATGGAGCTTTCCGCTTTACCTTTTGTACGAAAACTGCGATTTACGAACAGATTTTGCAAAAAAACGCGACGAAATCTTCGGATCTCGCGAAAACGCACTGAGGAGCTTCCGAGCACTGTTTTTATCACTTTGACCATGATCACCCCCGCTTCCAGGTTTTCTGGTAACTGCCAGACCTTCCTTGTACCGATTCAAAACCCTGCAAACTGACGAATGTTGCAGTTTTAGATTTTTAGCAATTTTACGCGCACTTAAGGCCGGATTATTTCGAGCCCTAACCGCCAAAATAACGTAAGCGACATTTTTTTCAAAATTTTCTTTTTGATGCAGAAATATTCCTAGAGCATCTAGATGCATTTCTGCATCAAAAAGAAAATTTTGAAAAAAATGTCGCTTACGTTATTTTGGCGGTTGGTTACGGCTCGATTTATAAACTCGTGCAAAATAATTTGTCTCGTTTCTAACTCGGTTGCCATTTTTAACTTAACTAGAAATCAAATTCAAATGAAATTTCTCCTACGTGAAACTAAGGTCATGGTCTACTCCTCATGGCATTTGAGTTTCAAAATATTGAAACCTTTTTAGGTGAGTTATAAGTTTCCCAAAGTGTCGCAGTTTTGGTGTGTTCACCCTTTAGTAGTTGAATGTGTTTTCCTACTGCAATTAGTACCAGATCATCCGCCCAGCGAGCTGCCTCTTATAGCGATCACTAGGCGACAAATGAAAGTGTACACTTTGTTCTAATATAATGCTCACACTTATTTTTATGAAACTTTTTTTTACATTAATTATTTATGAAAATATAGTTCATCCTATAATATACATATTAATCCAAGTTTCACCCTTTATATAAAGTTCACAAAAATTCAAAAAAAAATTCAACTTTTTATTCAGAATTGTTAGAAAATTTTGTAGTATGCAGTTTTGTTCAATTTTTTTTTTTATATAACAAGTGCAATTTACAAAAGCTGACGTTAATATTTTGAATTTTTTTTTGTTATTTTATTTCATAAGAAATTCATGCTTATATGGAAAAAAGTGCAAAAATCCGTCACCAACCAAAAAAATCATAATTTAAAAAAATCAACGGGATTGACATAAAAAAAATTCACCGAAAATTGTATTTCAAAATCTTAATGTAGTTAATTGATTAATCCTTATTAATACATATGTGTAAACTAAATGGTTCCATTTGAAAAGACAATCTTAACTAATACCCAAATATAAATATAGTGTAGTAAGTAGTATGGAGTACTAAACTTAAATTTGTTGACTTTTTTTCATGCAAATAGAGGAAGTGGGTGGAAGATCGACGTATCTCGGCAGCCAGTTCGAAAACGCCCTATTTCAGAAAACTTTTCAATAACACCCTCTCTAAGAATTCGGTTCAAAAACGCCCTATCTCAGCACATTTTCAACACATTTTTATTTGAGATAGGGCGGTTTTGAACCGAAATCTGAAATAGGGCCTTCTGAAACCAAATTCTGGGATAGGGTGTTTTTCAATCAAATTCTAATATAGGGCGTTTTCGAATTGGCTACCGAGATAGGTCGATCTTCCTCTCAGGTGTCGAAATATAACTAATACCTTCTTAGTACGAAGATATGTAGGACAGGCGTATAAAAAAAAAATTATAAATGTAAAGCAATCGTCGCCCTTATGTTATGCCAGAAGCATGAATGTGCAGATTTATCAATTTTGAGTTACTGTGTTGACTTGATTAACCTTTGGATGTCCTATGCAGCGCTGCCGAATGCGTTCGCTGGAAAATCGTCACTTTACCCAAAAAAATCGTCATTTCGGCCAAAATTATCGTAAAATTTTTGTTTATTGTATTTTTGTAACAAGATAAAAAATACAAAGGAATTACATACAATGAGTCGTCGTATGCATAAAAACTAAGCAATTGCGTTTTCTTTAAATCGCATAAATTTAACTTAAATTTATTTGAGGTTTTACACATTCGGCCCAATAAATATGACCACACATCACAAAACCAAATGGAACCCACATTGCATATGGTTTAATAAAAGTGGATTTCCAATTGTTAACGACAATTTAAAATTACAATTTAAAACACAACTGCTTGTTCTACTGGTTTGAAGTTTTGAAGATTTTGATCCAGTTTTAAAGTAGGGGTCTTCACATCGCGCTTGATACTCGGTGTTCGGTAATTTTTTCCAATGCATTTTATTTGTGTAGAATTATTTTATTATCGGTGTACCCGTTGCCGAATTATCGTGAAGGAAGCTTGATAATTTTTCTGGTAGTTGGTAAAGTGCAATCAGCTGTTCGATATTTATTCAATTTTAAATCCGCCCGCTGCCGAGGCAATTTTTTTTTAGGGAAAAAGCTACGAATCCGCTGTTGATAAACTTAGTTTACCAGGCTAACAAAGGAAAACTGAAAAGGACGTTCACAGTTGATAAAATTACCGGGTGTCAACCAGCAATTTACCAAAACTACCAAAATGGATGTGAAGACCACCCTTAGTTTAATATTAGCATTTATTAACTGATAGCTAATTTAGACTGAAAAATTCCCTCTCCTACTTTTCTAAATTTTTCAAATCAGTGTCAGCAGTGCAAATTATCGATTTGGTTATAATTCTAGAACAAAAATAATATAACTAAAAGCACTGTTGTAGAACAAAACTAGATAAATGCATGGTTTTATATTGAATTACGTTTTCACGTAACAAATTTTTTACATACACACATTTGTAATGCAGTGGAAAAACTAAAATAAAAAATCGTTATTACGGGGAAAAAATCGTCATATTTCACAATGTCAATTACATGAATGCAGAGTTAACTCTCGTAAAAAATTCAAACTTGATTTCCCAAAATTTTAATTTTTACATATTCACATTATTTTACGTTTCTGGCATGCGGGGACGATATGTACTTGGCCGATTTATTTTACAAAAATTATTTAAAAAGCAGACGTCTCGGTTGCATTGATTCTCTAACCCAAATTTTCGGTGTTAAGATGCAAAAACGTGAACATAAATTTTATAAGAAATTAAACTGACAATTTATTAAAACTAGTAGCAATCCCCGAAATTCGGGTGTATGCAGTAAAGAAATACTTCTAAAATTAAGAAATAAAATTTAAGCGTTTAGTTGAAGATTTATTTAAAGAACTTCGTGAAAGGCAACAATTAATCTTGTACTGCTAGAGGCTTCATAACCCAGAAAATTGGCGCCGTTTATGGCGAAAGGCATTTAGTATCATCTTCATCATTCAGGGTCCTTTATAATGGTCAGTGATATCCTAGGTGTTTAAAAAAGAAAGTGATGCCAACTATTTTTATTTTTTGCTTTCATGAAATATATTTCAAAACTATGAATAAGACTGTGCCACAAAAACAAAAAAAAATCAGAACACACGAATGAAACTATGGGCCAAATACAGTAAGACTGCGTTTTTAGTTTTTCACTCTGACGTCAGGATTTTTTTTCAAAGGTCTTGAAATTCTATATATGATATGATTTATTCAAAAAATTATTTAATAAAATCAGTGCAATGTAGAATAACATTATGGGTACCAAATTAAAGAGAAAATTCTGTTGAATTTAAAAACACAATAATGTGTTTTTGTTTACAAGGACGAATAGGCATTGAAAACACGCTTTTAATAAATTTTATCTTTTCAAGTTAATAAAGTTTGCAGGACGAAATTCGATGATGTGGTCGTATGTATGTACATATATTAGTCCTCAAACATTTCGCGAATAAGTTCGTGATCGAAAAAGATATTTAAGAAAACTAACGATTTTTCTAATAGATTAAAGCATTGTCTAATCAATGGTACGATTATCGAATAATAGTTTATATGGCATTTACACTATTTCTTTATTCCAGCGAGGAGTTAATAGGTATTTTCGAAGTTTTTTTAAGTACTCATGTCCCATAAATCGTAAAGTAAATACGAGATTTCCAAAATTTACTTTGTGCTTTTTGCATATATGTACATTATAACAAGCAACTAATCAAAACGTTAATTCGAGTTCATTCTTTAAAGAATCCCATAGAAAAGGGCATCCATAGCTTTTACTATCATTTTCTTGTAACTTACAATTTGTCTTTCCATGAAACCTTTTTCAGACTACTAAGAATTGTAAAAAGAGTAACATTTAAAATTAGAAAAACCTTTGTATCTTTATTTTGACCTCTCCATTAAGAAAGCAGTTGAAAAATCATTCTTGGGTTTTTGGGAAAATTTGTACCATCGATTGAATGAATTAAAGTATATTTAAGAATGTAATTATTTGAATTAATAAACATATGTATATTATTTTTACCCATGCACTTACCGTCTGGATTTATCACTAAACGATTCTCGCTTTACTTGAATTCCCCATAGATGTGGTGCCCACCCACACCGCCGCAAGATGACAACGATATCTACATCGACTACTCGCTGACATTTATGTACGAGATGACTCCCATACCAGATGCGGAACTGCCGCCCGTCTACATCAAGAAAGACTACAAGCGTTCGCGTGGCGATGCCGGTTTCCCGCTGGATGGTAGTCGGCGTCCGTTGAAAATGCGCCGTGAGGATAACTATGTTGCGCCTCGTTCACTCTTCGATCGTCCATCGGCGGCGATAGCACGCATTCGTCGTGATCTGAAGAATCAGCGTTATCGTGGCGTTTTCAAGCCGAACGTGCAAATACCCGGATTGAAACCGCAAACGCCACAAAAGCAGCTGGTGGAGCCAGAAGGCATGGCTGAGTGGACTATTTTCGAAGACATCGTGATTTTGCACGTCTTGGTCAATCTACAGGGATTGCCATGCAATTTGATGGTGCTCTCACCGGGTCATACACCCAATTGGGACTTGGTTTCGGAAATTGTGAATTTCCAATCGAAAACCTACCGTTCTCCTAAACAATGCCGTTGGCGCTATGAAATGGTAATACAGCCACGCGAAGAGGGCAAATTTGTGGAGAGCCCAAAAAAGCAGAAGAAAATGAAAGCGATGCTGAAGTCGGAGTACCTTAAGGGGCCACTGCGTTATCTACGCACTACGCTCATGTATGCGAACGACAACAACACCACCTTCACAAAGCTAATGCGCTCGCGCTTCGATTGCATCAAGGCGGCGTATCTAAAGAAGGCGCCACCACCGAAGCGTCACTTCAATACGCCGAGCCTCATGAATCCCAAACACATGGAGGTGCTGCAAGAGTTCGGCATAGTCAACTACGATCAACCCATCTCGCCATTGAATATTGCTGCCATGAAGGCGAATAAGATTCGGGAGAAACAGCGTAGTCAATGCCCACCGCCACCGCCACCAGTGCCGGCGCAGGTGGTGCCAGTGCAGCAGCAGCAACAGACACAACAGCAGACAGCCGCCACTGTGTCCCAGGTGCAAATACAGGAAATGGTTGTGCAGCAGCAACAGCAGCAGAATGTCTCCACAGGCGCAACAGCGGTACAACAAGCCAGCGCTTTACATGCGCAACAGCTACAAATCCAGCATATACCCAGCAGTAATGTGCAGGGTGTTACGCAGCAACAAACTGCAACAGCGATTGTGCTACAGCACGCTGGTTCTATGCAGCAGTCAGCCGGCACCACGACCCCCCAAACGCAGCAGCAAATTTTGCGCGCGGGTATGGGCAATACGCAGATTGTAAAGGCCATAGTGGCGCCGCAGTCGGGTTTACTCACAGCCGGACAAATGCAGCAACTGACGCAACAGGCAGCAGCCGCGGGTGCGCAACATGTACAATTGCAACAACAAGGTACTGTGGGCACCCCCTCCTCCGTCTCGGTGGTGCTGACCACTCCGGTGCAAACGTTACCATCCAATGTGCAATCGGCGCAGCAACACGCGCAGTCATCCACCGCGCAAATCGTTTCAATTTCACCCCAGACTATAGTGTCCACCGGGTCGCAGAGCGGTGGCAGCATCGTGCAGACTATACCTTCGCAGTCACTGCCGCAAGTCGTGTCCGTATCGCAGCTTGCCACTGTGGGCACTGTGCTGACCACGTCGGCCAATTTGCAGCCCAGCGCCACTGTGACGACATTGAATACATCGGCGCTACGTGCACAACGCATTGTAGCAGCAACCGCTGGCACACTACAGGATGTCGTACTCCAGCAGCGCAGCGGCAACCCCAGTCCTACTATTGTTTCCATGTCCAATTTGGGACAGAGCGTGGCGGCTGCACAATTCCAAGCGGCACAGCTTCGATTGGCATCAATGCCAGGCACTTCGCAGCAGGTCACAAAGGTGCCGGTGAGTACCTTGCAACAGAGCGCCAAGATTGCAGGCAACGTCGGCGGCAATCAGCCTGCGCACATACAACTCTATCGCCAGCGTCAGCAACTGAAGGTGCTGCAAGCCACGCCAGCCCAGGGCGGCAGCCAAACACTCGTACAAACGGCCAGTGGGCAAACAGCGCTGGTGAACGCCGCTGGCACCATTATACAAGGCAGTCTAGTGCAGACCGCTGGTGGACAAGCCACAATGCAGGTGCAAGGTCAAAAAGTAGCTGTCGCCACTGTATCGTCAGCCAATATGACAGCGGCGGCGTCAAGTGGCGGCGTTGCAACCTCCGTGGCCACAGTGCAGGTGGCGCATCAGGGCCGCACGCAATTCATTAAGCAAGTTGGCGGCAAACAAACTATAGCGCGTCAAGTGGGCGACGACATGGTGCTAGTTAAGCGACAGGTGATTGGCGCTCACCAGAAAGCGCAGGTGCTACAGCAAGGCCAGATATTCAATACGACGGCCACTTCGGCGCAAGGCACTGTACAGCTGCAGCAGCAGCAGGCACAAAGCGCTGTCGGAGGCGGTCAGCAACAATTACAGTCACAACAGCAGCAAGTGCAACAGGTGACTGCGCAACAAATAGCCACACTTGTGAAGACGTCCTCCGGCGCCGGTGTTGTGCAGCAGACCAGCGGTGGGGGTGGCGGCAGTGTAACTGTCTCAACTGGTGGTGGCCAACAAAGCACTGTGAATATGGCGCTTACGCACATCAAGCCCGGCGGTCAGATAAAGGTGACCACCTCCATGGCAAATCAGGCGCAGATGCGACAGTTGCACATGCAGCCGTTGAATATGCCGCGCAAAATCAATCGTATGACGCAGATAGCGACGGCCGCGCAGACTGGCCAGCCGGTGACCACTTCGGTGGGACAGTCACCTTCCGGCGCGACGGTAGTGCAACAGCCTAAAGGTGCCGGCAGCATGCAGACGCAATTGGTTCACATACAGAACACGAAATCGCTGCCCAGTTCAGTGACTGTGCAGCAAATACAACAGGTGATGCGACAGGGGCAGCAGGGATCGTTGGCAGCCACAGGGCTGGTCCTGAGCAAGACTAGTGTTGGACGCGTTATACCCGTTTCGGTGGCATCGCAGTCTAATCAGCGGCAAACCATACAGGTGAGGAGAAATGTGAGAAATTGCTATACAAAAACAAACTAATTTTTACAGAAAATAAATTGAATAAAAAATCCAAAGAAAAAATAAAAATGAAATATAAAAAATAAAAAAACAAATGAAACAAAAAATAAAATGGAAATCAAAGAAAAAATAAAAAAATGGAAAACCCAGCAAAAGGGGAAATTATAATAAATGTTATAAAAATAAGAAAAAACAAAAAAAGGAAATGGAAAACAAAAAAAAAGGAAATTATAATATGAAAAAATAGTATTTACAAAAAAAAAAACATGAAAAGAAATTAAAAAAATGAATAAAAATTAGATATAAAAATAATAATTATAAAAAGGAAAAACTTTAAAATCTGAAAAAATAAAATAAAAATTTTAATTTAAATAACAAAATAAACGAAATGAGAAAATAAAAAACGACAAAGCAAAAAATATAAAAGAAAAAATAAAAGTGAAAAATGTCGTAAATATAAAAAATTACAGAAAGTAGTATTTATTAGACAATTCAGAAAATATAAAACCTAATAAAAACAATAAGAAATTGAAAAAATAATACATACTAAAAAATAAAACCAAAACTGATAATAATATTAAAAATTATAAAAAATAAACAAAAACAATAAAAGAGAATTATGTATGAAAAATAAGAAATATCAAAAAATATAAATAATATAATAACATTTATAAAAATATAAGCATAACAAAAAAAGTTATGTAAAAATAGAAATCACAAAAAATTCACCAACTTAAATTATAAAAAATAAAAAATAAAAACAACAAAGTCATCAACTTTAACATCTTCAAATTTTATTCCCATGTAGGTTGTCTCCGCCGCCTCTGCACAAGCACTCGCTGCTGGTAATCTGCGCGCACACGTCACTGGCGGCCAGAACATTGCCGGCACTATTAAAGTGGGCACCAACAGCGGCAATCAATCGCAGACCCAACAAGCAATTCATCTCATACAACAACAAGTGGCAGCACAGCAGGGCCAAAGGCAAAATGCCAGTCCAGTGCGGCTACAAACAGCCGGCGGTAATTTGGTAGCGGTTGTGCAGCAACAAAACATACAGCAACAACAGCAAAATGTAGCCTCATCCAGCATTGTCAGTTCTTCAGGAGCATCGCAGGGCGAGGTGATGACCATAACGCAAACCGTTGCCACGTCAGGTGGTGGTGGCGGCCAGCAGCAGCAGCAGCAGCAGCTGCAGCAACAGCAACAACAACAGCAGCAAACACAACAGACGACCGCGCAGCAAGTGCGCACGTTGGTGAAGAAGAAAATCATGCAGATACGTAGTGAAAAGGAATAAATACCAACTACAATCTTTGTACTTACCACTAGTGGAAATTGTAGACACAAAAGTCTTCGTTGTTTATTATTTTATGAAGCAAACAAAAAACAAAAAATTATAATGGACCTATCAGGAAAAATTCGCTCGCCGTTTGTAACGGTGCTTACATTTGGTTAACAAAAAAAAAAAACACATTTAAGAGTATTACAATCATAATCGCTATGATTAGTTCTAAATAATTAAGAGAGCCTGTTCGAGGCGCATAATAAAAGCGGCATTAGTTTGTAACACTGTTGCAACCGCTCAACTGAAAAAACGTGGCTAGAAATTCTCACCGGACGTGATACTTTAATTACTTCGCGCAACCCTGCGGTTGTGATTGCAAATCGAACAAGCCCTTATTTAACCTGCATATTCACTTAAATATATTATAATATGTAGTGATATGTGTAATCAATCTGATGATAAAAATATATGCTATTCGTGTAGTTTTTAACGTAGTTTGTTAATTATCTACTAACTTAAAATTTCCCATGTTTCCATATTTTACGATTAATGAATCTAATTTTTACAATTAAACTCTACTTCACTCCTAAACTGTACACTTCACTGTAATTAAACTATAATTTTAAGTAAATATTTTTAATTAATGAATTACATTTTAAGTGAGTGTAATAACACATTGTGGTAAGCAGTACATACATACATGATTATTATCAAACTAAATTTAAATACATACATACATATACAAATCTTCTAAATCACTCAAAGGCGTTTACTTTTTTGGGCGAGGCTCATTCTTACCTCATCCCTGCCCTTGCGTCACAGATTAAAAACTTCGCGTGAACACTTTTTTCCGCCCACCTTAATAAAATGCAATGACATTGAATATGGCAAAGGGTCTAAATCAGTGAAATTCCGTTGAAAATACACCAACTACCTTTTAAACGTATTCAGCAGGGTGTCAGGTCGTTGATTGTCTTCAGTTACCTCTCAAGAGTCCATGTGGGTAAGCGGGAGTCCACTCAAAGACAGGATATCTCCTTCATAATGACCTATGATTGTAGTTGTAATAGCTTAAAAATTCTTTAGAGAGTTTTGGGAAATGCGGATGAAGTGATGGTTCATTTCCATTCACCTGGGAGTGGCCAGAGGTGTTCTTGTGCGCATGGTTCAAATCGCAGCTCACAGCGTCCGGCCGATTGGGAGCGAGCTAAAGTGTGAAGGCGTGAAACTTCGCTCCGCCCAATGAAAAGCAAAAAGCATGCTCGGATGAGACCCCCTTTTTCTGATGATGATGCCCGGCTGGTTGATGTCCCCGGGACGACTAAGGCTGACATCACCGCCATCCAAGATATGCGATGGACGGTGCAAGGCAAGGTAAGTATGGAACCTTGCGACGTCTACTATAGTTGCCACGTAACGGAGCGCAAATTCGGTATGGGATTTGTGGTGGGAGAGAGACACCGTCGCCGAGTACTGGCGCTCACCCCGGTGGACGAACGTCTAGCCACAATCCGCATCAAAACGAGACCTCAATATTTCGCTCATCTGCGCCTAAACTCCGACGGAAGAGAAGGACAAGGCGTCCAAGAATCTCTCCTATGAGCGCTTGAACAGAACATATGAGCGCTGCCCCCGGCACGATATAAAAATCGTGCTTGGCGATTTCCATGACGAAAACGTCCGATAACGGATTGAGGCTGATCAACTTCGCCGTGGACCGAAACATGGTAATATCTAGTACTAGGTACAGCATAAAAAGATACACCAAGCTACATGGCTGTTCCCAGATCGAAAAACGAGAACCCAAATCGCCCATGTAAAGTAAAGGCCTGTAAATCTTCTGCGATTCTGCGTTGGATTTCCATGCTGACATTATTATCGGTGTTAATGCTGGTTCCCAAGTAGACGAAATTCTCTACTTTCTCGAAATTATAACTGTCAACAGTGATGTGGGTGCCAAGGCGCAAATGTGCTGACTGTTTGTTTGATGATTGGAGAAACTCCGTCTTGTCCTCGTTTACCACCAGACCTATTCGTTTAGCTTCCTTATCCAACTTGGAAAAGGCAGAACAGACTTCGCGGCTTTTGTTACCGATGATATCGATGTCATCGGTATAAGCCAGCAATTGCACGCTCTTGTAGTAAACTGTTCCTGAGCGGTTCAGCTCTGCAGCTCTTATTATCTTCTCCAATATCAGATTAAAGAAGTCACATGGAAGGGAGTCGGCTTGTCTGAAACCCCGTTTGGTGGCGAACGGCTCGGGTAGGTCTTTCTCAATTCTGACGGAGCCATCAGGGTAGTGAGGATGCCAAATTCAGACAGCGGCGTATAAGCTTTTCGCCTTTCTTTTGGATTAGGCAGAGCATACCTAAATTCCAGTCGTCGTACAATACGCCAAATCTTGCAAAAGGCCCGCGAGAATAGCATCGAAACGCACCATCTATTTGTCAAAGCCGCTTTCGACAGCAGCAAAAGAAGTCGTCTTTATGCCGCGATGTCTGAATTTGTTATCCCCGCGAAACTAATACGGCTGTGTAAAATGACGTTGAGCAATACCATCAGCTCTGTCAGAATTGGGAAGGACCTCTCCGAGCCGTTTGGTATCAACAAGGTATCAGACAAGGTGACTCCCATTCCTGTAATTTCTTTAATCTGATTTTGGAGAAGATAATAAGAGCCGTTAAACGAAGCGTTTTTGCTGCCCGACTCTTCTTCTACAAGGCTGGGTATACTCGCCGTCTCCAGGGTCCATTACAATAAATTTATAGTCTCGGGGCTCCGGTAAATCATACTTTATTAGATTATTACCTTACTTGCTATTCAACATATAACAAAAACTATATTAGGAAAAATCGCTAGCGTCACTTGCAGTGGCTGGGTAACGGCTCCCGTGTACCGTTACCGGTCCGTTATGTCGTGGTGGCGTGACTTTGCTGTTGCTCTGCCGCAGTCTGGGCGAGGGCTCTGGTGTCGTCGGTGGGGGCTTCACGGGAAGCTGTGGTGAGCGGTGATTGAAGCCGACTTTGGTGCTCACTACTTCTGAGTAGTGATGTCTTGTCCTGTTTTATAACTAAACACAAGCAATCCCTCCATTCAGTTGTAGCGACGCAACTCAGCCGCGAGCGGATGTGTTGTATCTTATATAGGCCGCCTGTGTGATTTTGCCTTGGTCGTGTGCGGCTACATGATGACCATGGGCTTTGTGTAGCCGTGGCTTGTCTCGTGTTGCTGCGTGCTTTGGCATCGTGGGGTGTAATTTTGACGGTTTCTGGTACTATCGTGGTGGGTATTTGTGTGGGCCAAATTCCTCAGAGATATCTGGTCCAAATAGCCGCAGAACTGAACCGCTCAAGAGCAATACTTTACAAGATCGTATACTTGCTGGAGTATGCCGACGATATCGAGGACAAGCTTAGCCTTTTCGAAAAAAAAGACGACAAAGAGCAGTGTTGCCACGGACAATTTTTTTTTCCTACCAAAATCAACCAAAATCTACCAAAATGTTATTTAAGTTTTTAATACTTTTTTAATGCGAAGATTATTAAAAATTTAGAATACATAACATTTAGAAAAACTAAAGCACAGCTAGTACAATAAAAACAAATTAACAACGTATAACAATTCATTTTATTGTACAGACTTACGCAAATATTTGTTCTTTACACATACATATTAGGTGTTAATATTATAATTATACACGCGCTGCGACATAAGAAGATCTATTGTGCTGAGTCCTAATTTTAATCACTCCAACCTTATTATTATCTTTAAGAAGTTAGGCACTTTGGAGGGCGCCATGTTTAAAATTTTGGTTGAAGTAGACAATCGCTCCCTAAGGTGCATCAGTCATCTATTTATGATACGTGTGAGGTCACATAGAACATGCTCTGGGGTTTCCTTCACCAGCTCACAAAAGGCGAGGGGCCATGCAAGTGCATTTTGGCTCCACACTTTGCGAGACAGTCAGCTTTCGTTGTCTTCAAACCCGTCAATAATAGTTATTATCACTTCACAACAGTCCGTTTCAGGAATTCTGAAGGATAACTCGGGATTATCCAGGAATGGCTTTAGAATCTGCAAACAATCCCGAAAGTCACAAATTTTCTTGCTGTTCTTATTGGGCAGTCGTAGGGCGCTCCAGCAGACCTTTTTTCAAACAGAATAGACAAAAGAGGAGTGCCCGTAATGACACCAAAGGCATGCGTCCAACAGGTGCCCTGTAATGGCCACGCGGCAGCCTTTACTTGCGAAGCCTTAAGTCACCAGGCCAGTACCGCATATGTGACAACGGGTCAATAGGTTAGTTTTGGTGATATTCCTCCAGTCTTACAATGAAGTCTATGCCAGGTGGACAATGGTGAACTCCACCGGTGAAATTTTCGTGTAAATAAGGTTGACATACATATTTTATATTTTTCGCAAATAACTATTATTGTCGCGGAACCTACCAAAATCCAATCTAGCCAACAAACCTACCAAATGGAAAAAAACCTACCAGTTTTGGTAGGAAAAGCCCATGTTTGGTAACCTTGACAAAGAGGCTCCTTCGGGTATTACCTCAATTAAAGAAGTACTTTTCTATCCTACCGAAAAGTCATAGAATTTCACTGATATGAGAACCGAAGATAAAATAGGTAACGAGGAGTCCCTAGTATTATTTCAGTAGAAAAAGAGATTCCACGTTGACAGGCTGGGACGAGAGAACAATGCCTTTCGTCGTGGAAAGAGATGGTACATTTGGCCGGCACACAAAAAAAAAGTTCAAATGCGAAGACTGCCTCATGGTAGGGGTGTCTAAAGACCTATAGGTATTCCTACCTCGAGAGATTGGTTCTTTATGGTTTCGAGAAAATCCAATAAATTTAAGAAAAAACATCCACAAAACATATTCATGTACATTAGACTGCATCACACCGCACAAAAAAAAATTTCGGTGCTGTTTTTCCATTGGCATTATAAAATCTATTATCTATCACTGATTCCGTCGAAGTCCGAATTTTCCTGAAATCTACGAAGATACTATCACTGAATCCGATATGACTACGAACGAAGCAAACACTTTGAGTGCATACGTTCGTAGCATTTCGGATTCAGTGATCGCGTTTTCGTACATTTTGCGTAAATCGGACTACGATGGTTTCAGTGATAGCCCAGATTAACGTGAGCTGGATCAACTTGAAAATACCTCAAAAAATTTAGGTTTTTTCGAGTCAAAATATTTGCTTTAAGCATTTTTTGGAAAAAAATCACCTCAGATGGCAAAACAGTTTAAGCTCAAAAAAATTTGCATAAAAATATTTAAAAAATTTTTTTTTTGAATGGAATCACAGTAAATTAAATATATGCAGTTTTTGGATTTTTTTGCAAAGATTGGTTTAAGAAAAACTTGAATTACGATGTGTTGATATTTGCAAGAAAAATATTGGAACGAGCTTGAGTTGCCTTGCAAAGAAATAAAAGTGGTAAATGAATCCTCAGAAGTCTAAATCTGTATAGTTTTGGCACAGTTTTTCAAATTTTTCTTAAACCAAGTTTTAAAAAAACTTAGAGAACAACATCAAAAATCTCATTATTATGATTCAGTTGAAATATTTTTTTTTATAATTTTTATGCAGATTTTTTAAGCTTAAACTGATTTGTTATCTGGGGTTTTTTTTCCAAAATTCCTTTAAGAAACTACTTTTATCCATAAAAACTCCATTTTTGAAAGTATTTTCAAATCGGTCCAGCTCACGTAAATCTTAATATTTTTCCGAA